TAAAATGAAAATTAAGACCAACAAAAGCAAGCCTTGTGTTTGTGGTTTTCTTAAAGTAGTGGTTCAGAAAAGAGCTATGTTTTCTACCATGGCAGACGTGTGACTTGGGGTACCTCAGCCAAAGCAAACAGCCCTGCTTGGCCTCCAGGCAGGTGCAAGCCCCTCCTGACCATGTGGATTTTATCTTTTTGCCAAAAGAAAAGCGAGCAGCTTTGCCCCAGGCAATGGTTTTGGGAGAGCAATGAAGAGCAAAGAAAAAATGGAGGTCATTTTCACAGGCACCCTCAACAGCCTCCAACATAGGGGACTCATACCAGCCTCCACTCAGAGGCTTCTGCAGGCAGAAGCGTGAGAAGGCAAGTGTCTGAGACTAAGGACCTGAAGGCTTCTGCAGAGAGGCCTCAGGAACATGCTAATAAGGTGAGCAGGCGTCTCAAAACTACATGGGGCCAGAAGGAGTTAATTTAAGTTCATCTTCCCTCAAAATGAGGTCACTGGCTTGGCACATGGTGGCTGTCTATCGACTCATTCAGCAGCCCACTCCATTCTTCTATCTGATGGGGGGGCAGAAGCGACCCACCAGTGGTCCCCGGCTGGATGTGAAATCGTAAAGCAATTAATCAAACCTGCTAAAAGGCCTGGCTGACAAGAGCAGGGCTGGCCACACTATCTGTCAATGTTGCTGTGTTTATCATGGAAATCCAGCAGGGGCCCAGGAGGCCGCTGTCAGTGCAAGGGCCAGAGCAGGGAGAGCTGGGCCTGATGCTTGTGGATCCTGCTCCCTCTCCCTCACCCAAAAAAAGGAAACAGCTCACCCCTAGCCTTGGGGTGTGGAGAAAAAGACCCTCCCCATGCTTATTCACAGATTTCTCCAGGCTACTACTGAGCATACGGGACAGTATCATTGCTTCTTTCTGCTATCCCTGTCCTCTAGGAACCACTGGGGTGATTTTGTGGAATGAATGTGCATGTGCGTGCACATGCGCGTGCGCACACACACACACACACACACACACACACACACAGCTGTCACAGTGAAGACATGTCTCTGCCAGGATCTGCTGAAGACATGCTTAAGTGAAAATCTTATGCTCCTCTCTACCTACAGGTATCTATGAATTTGATATGGTACCAAGTCAACAGTCAGGATTGTGTATGGGATTTATTCAGCATTCTGAGCGGGCTAGCAGTACCCACTTAGCAGCAATATACCAGACAATCAAAACAAACCTGTACTGTTACCTGGGTGTGGTGGCCACATCTATAATCCCAGGAGGCTGAGGCAGGATTTGAGTTCAAAGCCTGTCTGGGCTATAGAGCTAGATCCTGTCTTAAAAAACAAACAACCCAAACCAAGCCAAATAAAACAAAACCTGTATTGTCTCTACCACCCAAGTGTTCAATAATCAAAGTCAAGTTCTCTGCAACATGCACTGCCCCCTTGTCCCCTACCCCACAGCTAAGAGATAGTTGGTGAGCAAAGAAATCTGAGAAACTTTGGGTAGAAAAAGATGATATTTATTTCCTTCATATGCTGTTAAATAAACAGTAAAGAAAATATGAGGCTGGCAGCATGGCTCAAATGTTGGAGTACCTGCTTAGTAATAAGCACAAGGCCCTGAGTTCAAATCTCAGTACCCACCCTACCACCCCCAGGAAAATACAAAATCCAACAAACAGAAGTCTCTGCCAGCAACAAGGTTGGGCTTGGTGCTCTTAGGGGGGCCAGCACTACAGAGCAGCCCCTTTCTGCTGCTCAGCAGCACAGGTGAACCAGCACCAATGGCCTAGACATCTGCCCTCTCTCTGAAGGATAGGAAGGATCTGTTAGTAATTAGTGGGTTTCCATATAACATGTCTAGAAACAACTAACAAATCAATTTTTTATCTCCCTCCATAGGGTGTCTGTTACTCATGGTACATGTGTTGCTAAAAGAATAAAAACTACCACTATAGCCAGGTGTGGTGGCACACGCCTGTAATCCTAGCTATGCTGGAGGCAGAGGCAAGAAGGTCTTGAGTTCAAGGTAAATAAGGGCAAAGTTAGCAAGACCCTATCTCAAAAACAATACAAACAGAAGGGCTGGAGGCAAAGTTCAAGTGATAGCATTGCCTAAGCATGTGCAAGGTCCTGGGTTCGATCCCCAGTACTGCTGGAGGGGTGGGGGGGGAGAAGAAAAGCTGTCTTCTCCCACGTCAATAAAGACTAAGTACCCAAATCCAGTGAGGAAAAGAAGTGGCACATGCTAGAAAGCACTCTTCCTGAGGATATGAGTTCAACTGCTCCTTTGACTCCCTCAGGGGTGAGTTAATTTGTCAGCAAGCGCCCAAGGCCCTCTCTTCAACAGCCTGAGCTGCTCCAGCAAGTAGTGGGTTTTATTTACCCTCTGCCCATACTCAAATATACTTTGCCCCCATCATGAAAGACTCAGTCAGGGACTCCGGCAAAACAGGGTTCTGGCAGAGGGAAGCTGACACTGCAGCCTTGGCCCCTTAGTTGGTGTTGTGCAAGAATTACTGCAAATTTGGAGGTCTTTGCCACCTGCTTCCCTTCTAGCATCTGGAGAGGAGAAAATCCAGCAGTTGTCTCTTACCTTTGCCTATGACAAGGCCACACTTATCTGCTGGCACGGTGTACGTTATTTCCTGGATACCACCGGGGGTTCCCACGCTCCAGTCGCCACGGCCACGGCCTCTTCCTCTGGCCACCACCAGGCCTCCGAAGCCATCTCTTTCCTGGGAAGGAGACATGGCTCTAGTTGCGATTCTGCCTCTGCCCACCAGCACCATGTTTCATCTCCGGCAAGGAAGTTAAGCGACAGACTATAATCAACACCACATCCTGGAACCACTGTCTCTCAATTTCAGACTTGGAAGCCCACTTTCAGACCAGAATGAACCACATCCGGGGTACACTCTGAGGAGAATGTGTATACATAAACACATGTGGCCCTGTAAACAGCACAAACACACACACACCTGAAACAGGCAGCAGATGCAAACTCACACCTGAAGCCCAGTGGCCCTCTTCCTTGAGTGTTAGTTATAGAGCCCTGATCTACAGGCTTTCTCAAAGCTAAGGCTGCTCTTTCCTGTGGGCCTAACAGAAACCAGGTATTAAATATTAGAGCTGAAGAGCTCTGGACATTTGTAAGTGACATACAAGTCCTGACCCTTTCCCAGCCAAGGCTCCTCTAAAGGACAATTTAGTCTTGGTGGTCCGAATCAGAATACCTTATACTCAAGCCAACCAGCCTGGGCTGCATAGCAAGACCTGACTCAAAACAAGGTAGGATGGAGAGACTAGCCAGGCCTACCCACAGCCTGGAGCTGGAGATGTCTGGGGATCATGCTCACATCATCCATCAGGCAGACAGCCTAAACTTCACCCTAACAGAAGAAGGTCCTTTCTCTTTAGAAGGAACAAGCTTTCAGCCTGTATACCATTTCACTCTGGAGCTGCAGTACTAAAATGTTTTAAATATTGAGGTGAACCTGGTCAGGCTACACTCTTCCTCATGCAAGGAAGAAGCCAAGTAGTAGATCAATACAGTGCAGAAATATTTGGCAACACCTACTCGTGTCAATTGTGAACAAACTGAACATTTACCCAGAATCTAAACCAGCAGAAAGCTGAGACAATTGGAGTGCTTTCCTGTGCACTCTGCTTTTATGAGAGACAACTGACAAGTAAACAAAGTAATCTGAGGACTTACGTTAAAGCACACAATCTCACATACCAGAGCCAGTTTTCTGGGTACAGTACATTTAGAGGACAAGGCTCTCTTGCAAACGCTTCATGGCCTCTGCAGCCCTAGACTCATAAACTTGCTACAGGAGAGGACATCAAAGCCCATGCGGCCAGCTGTTCCTAACCCTAGGAAGTACCTGGGACTCCAATTAAGAACCTAGCTCCTCCTGTGGGAGTTAAAGACCTAGGATGGGGCCCACATATTTGTAATTTAGAAGGGTTCCCAGAGGGCTTACTTTCCTCCTGGTGAAAAGCGCCCAGTTTGCTGGTGAGGAAAGGAGGCGGCTCAGAGAGCTGAGCTTCCTAGGCTAATCCAAGATTACATGTCTAAGGGCAAAGGTGGGAATATAATTTCCAACCTGCTGCTTTTTCCTTTGGCTGTAGGTGTTCTCAGGCTTTTCCTCAGTCACACACCAGAAAGACATGCCAATCTGCCACCAGTTATAGCAGTTCCCTAGTGCAAGCCACAGTGGAGCAGGTGGACTCTGGTGCTAAGAGATACTAACGTCAGACAAGTTCACTCATATTCCAAAGACACACATGAAACCAAGTGCATGAAGACAACATTAGGACTCTGGAGGATCCTGACGTGCTTTCTAGATTTCACTTAATATTGTTGGAAACTTGGTATTCTAGCTTGGTATTTTTCCAAACAGTTTAAACAGTCTAGCATTTACTGGGTAAAGAAATCTAGATTCTGGGTAATAAAGGCAGGGAATAAGAAGCCAGCAGAAAAAAATGCACAGGCAAGGAGAAATATTTGGAGAAACCTTTGGTCTCCAATTAGGAGCCTGAGGGGTAAGTACTCTGTGGTGCTGCCCCAGTGCTCCACTGTGCATTTTCTGCTTCTGGGGGCCAGATCTTTAAATCCAGAGAACTGGACCCACCTGTGCTGTAAGAATCAGCTCGTTGATGATGTGTGCTGCATGCTGACACCGATCTGGAGGGCCCATGACCTGAGCGGCTCTTTCTGGACTAATCCCATCATCTGTGGAACCAGATGAGAGAGAGAATTAGGAAAAGCCCAAAGATAGAAGGAAATCAAAGCCAATCTGATTCACAGTCAATATTCTTCCTGGTACCAAAAGGGCAACAAGACTGTCACCAGCTCCACCAACTCTTATGGAGTGGTTTGGTCAACAGGAAAATGAGTGTGATTATGTTTTCTGTTTGTTTTTTTTTGCATGTTTCAGGTCAATACTCAATCATTATGCAAGAACAGTTTTTTTTTGTTTTTTTTTTTAAAGATACCACTAGAAACTGGGTGTGGTGGGCCCACACCTGCAATCCCAGCACTTGGGAGGCTGAGACAGGAGGATTTTGAGTTCAACATCAACCTGGGCTGTACAGAGAGACCCTATCTCAAAAACAAAACAAAACCTTTTTTATGATATTAAATTATATTTAATTATACACAATAAAAAAAATTAAGTCTTTACTTAGCAGAATTACAAGGTAGAAATGACATGCTGATTTCTGCAATCTAAGAAAAAACAAAAACAAAAAACAGGCCTGAAACCCTTGGGCTAGAGCATCAGGGCATGAGAAGTAGCATCCAAGAACACATGCCCTCCAGGATTTATAATCTGGCAACAATGTTGCAAAGGAGAAAAAGAGAACACCTGTATAGGATAACACAGCCTTGGTTTTCTTAGGTGTAAAACTTTACCACTAAGGGTTTTTGAGCCATCAAAACCAACCTGGTTTAAACTGAATCCTTACACCAGCATCATTCTGGATCTTTTTGATCATCTCCCCGTTTCTTCCTATTACAATCCCAACAGCAAACCTAGGCACAGACACCTAGTCACAGAGAAACAAAACCCCATCAAAACTTCTGCCAGTTTTTTTTTTTTTTTTTTAAAGTGGACTTGGTTTTTATTCAGGGCAATTCTGGAAATGATATAATAAAGTCTATTATAGTTAATGAACACAATCTTCACAATTAAATACATCAAATAAATACAAGATTCAACCAAAACAGTTATAAAATGAAGTAAATCAAGAAAAAAAAATCTTAAAGGATAAAAAGGACCAATTCATCTTCCAAATTCTGTAAGTATAAATATACAATACTGATTATACCGGTGATCCTTTAAATGCAGTGTTCTCTGTGTTTACAATTGTGGTTAAAATACATGAGCTGTAACATGCCACTCAGTCACTGGCAGGTATTTAACTCAGTGGCACTAAACATCTTCACAATGCTGTGCAACTGTCACCACTGTCCATACTCAAAACCTTTCTTAATGCTAACAACTCTTTCCATTAAACAGTAACTCTGTACCTCCCGACCCTGGTCACCTCTGCTTTGTCTCCGGCTTTGCCTATTCTGTAGCCATCTTCTGGCTTACTGCACTAAGCAAATTGCTCGAAACGTCCATCCTTGTGGCACATATCAAAATTTCATTTTCTTTTTTTTCCTGTACTGGGGCTTGAACTCAGGGCTTTGTGTTTGCTAGGCCAGCACTCTATCTCTTAAGCCACTCAACCAACTCCAAAATCTCACTACTGGACTGGAGGTGTAGCTCAGTGGTACAGGGCTTGCCTAGCATATGCAAGGCCTGGGTTTGAGTCCCAGCACCACCATTCTACCTCATCAATAAAACAAGATTCCAGTTTGACGTAATCACGACACAGACGGTCAAGAAAGCCTGAACTTTGGCCTTTACTTGGGCAGCAAGTTATTTCAAAGCCCCAAATGACCTCCCCCTGCCCTCCAACACAGCTGGCTTCTTATACTCAGTCCTAGTCTGTTCTCATCCTTGGCCAGCACATTTGCCCAATGAACTGTAATGCAAGCATACCTCTATACTGCCTCCTCCTACTCGGGAGCCGAAATCACCACGCACACCTCGGAAGTCAGCTTGGTCTTTTTCTCGGATGATCTCCAGTACCATTTCTCTTGCTTGCTGCATAAACAAAATGAAAAGCATCATGGGAAAAAAAGTCCTGAAAAAAGATCATGCCAGGTGAAATGTAAAGATACAACCCTCCCCACACAGGTGTGAAGATACAGAAGGTGCTTGACTGTGGGTGGGGGATGTATGCATCACATCTTACAGGATGTCTTCTTCACCTGGCCCAGAAGGTGCACACAAATGAGGGCCCACATTCTTAAGCCAACACTGGTCAGAACATCTGTGTGTGTCCAAGATCGATTCCTGTGGCCTCCCTTCTAGTGGGAGGGTTGGCTGAGAGCAGCTCTGTGAGAAAGAAGCCTTCAGTGGGGCTTCCTTGGCAGTAGCACTCCAGCTAGGTGAGAGAACAGGCAGGCCAAGACTATGGAAGCATCTCTGACACTCAGACTCCTTATTTCTTAGCTAAAATGCTTAAATTATTGAGTTACTGGCAAGACTGCTTCATGAACCTCACTGCATTTGAGGCAGACCCCAAGGCTCTCTTCCAAAAGAATGCCCTTGGTAAGTGCATCCTACCACACCTGCCAGCCCATACCAGTGTGGCCCATGGGAATCTGAACATGCTGTACCTCAAAACGCAAGGCAAAGCACAAACCAAAATGGATTCTTCGTTCTGGAAAAAACCCAAACCAGCAACTGAATATAGACAATGCTGTGGAATTACTGCTAATTTTGTCAGGTGTATTATTCTTAGGAGACACATGCTAAAGGATATAGGGTAGACAGTCATACCACCCACCTGTTACAAACCCCAAACAAAAGAAACTCCACACTCTGCAAAATGTTAAGTAAGCAGAGGGTATACAGTTGTTCACTGCACTTTTATCTACTTTCCTGGATGATTGAGGTTTTTCATAATAAAAAGGTTGGGGGAAGAAAAACAATAATTTAATCTGAACATAGATTACTTCTCTCAAATAAATAAAACTGGAATATATACAGTTTTAAAATGAAAAAATAAGGTGGGCATAGCTTAGTGGTACAGTGTATTCCTACCATCTACAAAACCTTGAAAATACCATCCAACGCTTTGATGGAGAAAGCAGGAAGAAGGGCTGCTAGGCAGCATCCTATGGTCAGCAGTCCTCTGCAGACCTACCACTTCCTTCTGAGGAGCTCTAGGTCTGGACAGCAGTAGAGCCCACAAACTCTAGTGAATGAGCAAATATTAGATTCAATTGGATTTTTAAAAAGCCCCCGTTTATACTTAAAGAAGGCTGGGGCTGGTAGAGTGGCTCAGGGGTAAGAGTGCCTTCCTTACAAGCGTGAGGCCCTGAGCTCAAACCCCAGTACCATCAAACAAAACTACTGAAGCTCTGGGGGAAGGAAGGAAGTGAGGGGCTGTACTCACACTAAAACCCTCTACTCTGTTCTCAAACTAGTATTTCACATGTGTACCCTGACCAGTTTGGCTGAATGATGGGGTTAAGAACAGGGGGAAATATTTTGCCAGGGACTTGTAGCCCCCACTGGGTTAAAACCCCAACTTTCCAAAAGAAGTATGGCAGCTTTGGCCTGTGGCCCCGGGCCTGGGATATTCTAAGTGCAGGAGGAGGAGGGTACAGGACCCAGGTGACTGCAGATCCAACTCTGACTGCTTTCAGCAAGTGGGGCTATCCTTTCCAGAGCTCGGGGCACAAGCAAACTTGGGCTCTGGTACCCATGTTCATCTCAACCCCCAGCTAGAGGGCCTGCATGGCCGGCAAGTCTACACTGTACCTGATTAGTGTTACCCAGCACCATCTTCCACACAGTGGAAATGTTATTCATCTGCTGTTCCATGGGCAGCCACACTCATGCTGAAATACAGCCAGTGGAAACTTTTATTAAAGTTGGATGTACTAAAAACAGCACTGGGCAACACAACTCTAGATTCTTCTCATAGACAGCTGGTTTCCCGAAATACAGGACCACCTGGTTATTTATACTTACTTGAATAAGATAAAAACTCCAGTTTATCACCAATTCACAGGCCCACATTCAGGAGACACACAATCCATGGTCTTTCCTACCTGTACTTTAAATGGATCTCCAGTGATACGAAGAGGCTTGTCTGCCCCCGTGGGCAGTGGACCATCCTGGATCATGACCATTTTCACACCTGTCCGCTCCTGTGGAGGAACACACACCCATACAGCCCTCACTGTCATGAGTTAAAATGCAGGAAGTTACAAGAAATGGGGCTGGGTCAGGTCATATTCACAGTAAGCCCATGTCCCTACCTACCAAATGGGATGGCCTTCTGACCTGAATGGTGGAGCTGATTTCTGGGAATTCAGACATACAGACTATACTAAGCAATGTCCAAATGTGACATATAAAACAATTATTTTACTTTTTTTTCATCCCTGGAATATCTAAACATTAGTGAGATGTTTTCTTTTTGTCTTTTTCAGAGTTACTAAAGCTTGAACTTGGGGCTTTGCACTTGTTTTTAGGTGCTCTACCACTTGAGCCACGCCTCCAGACCTTTTTGCTTTTGTTATTTTTCAAAATAGGGTCTTGTGTGGTTATGCTCTGGTTGGCCTGAACCTCAAGCCTCCTATTTACACTTCCTGCATAGCTGAGATGACAGGTGTAAACAATAAAGATTCCCAGCTATTATTGGCTGAGGTTGGTGTATATGTTTGTGTGGGGGGGCATTTCTCGTGACTTTTTGCCTGGGCTGGTCTCAAACTGTGATCCTTCCAATTTCCACTTCCAGAGTAGCTAGGATTATAGGGGTGAGCCACTGAACTGGCCTGAGCTGTTCTTGTTGAATATTATACAAAGAGCAAAGTACTTTGGTTACCAATATCTGATTAAAATTTATGTCCACTGTGGGAAAAAGTGCAGCCACCACACATTTCCAGGTGAAAAGGGTTCTCAAGCAGGCTGCCCAAGGCTAACAAGTGGTGGGTGGAAACATGGAGTATGGGACACCAAATTCTAAGCTATCCGAGTCTACACTAGGTTCTGAGATGTCCTCCATAATCTCAGGCCTGGGGTATGAGTGTACACAAAGCCAGGTACATCCTTTACCTATAGCTGCAAAAGTCCCAGAGCTCTGCAACAGAAGTTTATTTACAACTAACGCGGCAGCAAAACCGAACTCCAGCAAGTGCATTTATAGCCTTTCTCTCAGTCAGTGTGGGTACTATTATGTTTATCTGGGAAAATATGCACTTGATTAACTTGCTGGGCATGTTAAAATCTAAAATGTGCTTCGGCCCATGTGTCTCAGATCTCATATGAGGGCTTCTGCAGCTAATAGCAGCTGTTGTCCACGGAACATCTCTTTAGTACCAGATTCACATAAAAATAAGAGTGCCTATTATTTCAGCTCAGTGACAAAAAACAGGTACTTCATTCTTTTACAAGGACCCTGATGGCTCGAAAAGTAAGTAAGTTTTTTTTTCCCCTTTTTTGGATTTTTGAGACAGGACCTCACTAGATGGCCCAAGCTGGCCTTGAACTCAAGATCCTCCTGCCTCAGTCTCTCCAGTGCTAGGATTCCAGGTGAGTGCCACCAAACCCGCTGTAAACAAGCATATTTAAATCACAGAACTAATGATGTGGGGAGCTAGGGCAAGGCCCCAACTCCAGACACTACTTTCACTGGCGAAGCTGTCGTTTGATGGCACTCCTAACAGTCCTGACAGAGTCTCACTGCTACGATGGCTGCTGACAGACCACAGCGCCAGGGTACACCTGCCCCAACACACAGCAGCACACTTGGAATCATTTCTGGCTACAGTACATGCTAAGCATGTGCCTGCTGAATGGAGGAAGAAGCCTCTCTGACTCGAGCAGAAGTTTGGAAAGGAGCCTCAGTACCACAGGTGCAAGGCCAGACCAATTAGGAAATTGGTCATAACCATCCTCCCCAGGGCAGATGCATGAAGGCCCACTGCAAGGCAGCTGTCTGTTCTGTGCAGCATAGGGCTCACATACCTGCAACTGCTTGATTGTTTCCCCTCCTTTGCCGATGACAAGACCCACTTTAGATGCAGGAATAAGAATCTCCTGGATTGTGCTGTTGCCATCTATGTCATTATGAAAGCCAGGTCCATTTCGACAGCGGTCCACAATCTGCCCCAGGAGCCGTTTGGCTTGTCTTTGGGAGGGAGAAGAACCACAAGAGAATCAGCATGAAATGAGTGCTTGAGGTCTGGAAGGAAGGGAAACAGTACCAGGGAAAGCATGAGGGAGTCAAGGCAGCCCTCAATCCAGTTCCAGCTCCTGCCCCACAACCTGAGAGGTCTCTGTGCCATCCATCACGCTACTGGGCTGGAATATAAAAGCAACACACACCAAAATACCATTGTTTTCACATGGAGCCTCAAGGAGTTGGCTATTGCCAGACACCATACCCTGCATGTCTGCCTTCTGCACCTGCCTGTGTCTCTACAAACATGTTCTGCCTATCAGAATGTCAGCTGCTCTGGTGGCAGAATGTACCTCCCTGTGTAGAATCTCTCTGCTCCCCAAGCCAGCAAAACCCCCTCAGAGAGTAGACATTCAGTACACACTTGTTAAACAAGGGCAGGAGAAGAGTGATGAGAAAGATGGGAAGAAAGAAAGCAAGGGTTAGTAGTCATTACTTGAACTCCAAACTCCAAATGTCTTCTCCCTGGCCAACAAAACTGCCCTATGACCTTCAACTGGCCACCAATTGCCAGTGTAGTTTCAAGAGGTGAGGAAAAGGGAGGCAGTGCCCTGCCCTGGCACAGTACCCACAGGCACCTGCTCTGTGCAGTGCAGTTGGGACCCTGATCTCTACAATGTGGCAACAGTACAACCCAGCCTCGCAAAGTCCTCTGTTGAACAAATTTCCTTTTCTGCACCAGAATCTTCCTTGGTTGTGTTTTCTGCAGAATTTGTTCTTTAAATCACCACACACCATCTATTTTTTGGTTCCTCGATAAAGAAGAATTTGCTACTAAACAGGCTGCTCTACTGCTCACTAGAAAGTGTTTTCTCCCAAATTTATAATCCCATGGCTTCAATTCCTTGGACAGACACAAAGTAGGAATGGTTAGAAGAATAGGAAGAAAAGAAAGAGAAGTAGGAGACAGATGTTGTTGCCTTTTGACGTCTTCAGCCTTTGTGTGAGGAACTAGCTTCATGGCGTTTCTCAGTTACAGCAGCTTTTTAATATTTTGCTGGTGCACTAGATTAACCTGTGCTGGAAGAAAATATCGCAACTCCAGCAAAACCATCCAGCTTGCCCTATAATGCACACCTGCCAGCGATATTTATTCTGGTTCACTGCTTGCAATGTTACAGCAGAACAAGAGAATTTAAGCTCATCTAGACTCCCTGAGAAATGGAAACAATAAAACAACCCTACCTATTGAGCCGGACATAATCTCAGCACCCCTGTCCCCATGTGCAACAGTACTCATAGATTGAAAAAGGGAAGTGAACTGACTCAAGTCAGCACATCCCCCATCCCCAGAAGGTTTTTGGGTTTATGAAGCCTGCATTTGGCACAAGGCTCTCAGCACGCACGTACTAGCATAGGAAAGCAATGCCAACCTTAGGGTTGTTGCAAGGGCCCCAAAACTTAAAGACATTCTCTTGCTGGTCCATTCGGCCCTTTGACTGGAGCAAAGGGCACAAATAGTGTATTTACTTGGCTCACAAACATCAGAAGGGTAAAGGGATCAGCCCAGGCAAAAGAGCTGGTGCCAGGGTTCTCTGCTGCTTATGAAGAGATCCCCTAATCCAGACCTGCTCGGGTGAAGGAGGTGTTAACAAGAAAGAAGTTGACCAGCAACTTGGGCCGGGTGAATGTCCACTCATGAGACCCTGCTTTATGAAGATGTTAAAACAGTGGTAGGGCATTCTACAGAGTATGGGGGGGAAAAAAAAAGGCGATACCTTGTGTATTTAAGGTAACCAAAAGGCTCCCCTGGCGTGGCAACCTCCCAGATCTTTTTCCTGTTGGAGCATCTGCTATGTGGCCAGACAGCAGCACAGATCGAAAGTGTTCAGTAACAGTTTTGCCCTTCCATATCTCCCCACTTGGGGAAGGAGGAAGAAGAATGAAAGAAAAAAGTAAATAAAATAAACTTACTCAATACTTTCTGGGGTTCCGGTAAGTACACAGGGTCTCTCTGGAATCCCAGAACTCTCTATAAGAAGAATCAAGAAGATGACGTGTGTTGGTGGGCATCAGGCAGCCATGTGCCTTTGCCTCTGTGTACAGACTATCTCTCTGTAGCTGGTTCCTACACCAGTCCCACAGAAGTCCAGTCTCCCAAGAAGACAGTTTGCTTTGCTTAGGGACAGTAAATTAAGCTGGAGGCTCACCCTAAGCTCTCAAGGCAGAGACAAGCCCAGCAGGGCAGCTGGGAGGACGAGGCAGGTCTGTGAGCTCATCCTAATGCCAGCCTTAGCTTCACTTCTGACTTACCCAGGGGCTATTAATCAGTCATCTTACCATGCTTTCCTCAATTGCTCCATGTATAGAGCAGACTGGTGTAAGGAACTCAACAATAAGCTCATCAGGAGTGTCACCAGTTACTGCATGAGTCTCCCAAGAGATCAGCAATAACCATGTGGAGCTGTCCTGGGCCATTTGACAAGAGGAAAATCTTACTTTCCATCACCGTACATAATGATTTAGCTTGTTCCTAAAAACTGCTTCTTAAAATCCTTCCATAAAAACTTGAAGAGAGGGCTGAGGATGTAGCTCAGGATAGAAGTGTTTGCATAGTATGTCTGAGGCCCTGGGTTCAATCCCCAGTACCGAAAAAAACCACCAAAAAACCCCCAGAAAAACACTTGAAAGAAATAGTTGACACTACTTCAAGTGCAGTTACTGCCTTCAAGACACTGTAATGAGTATCTTTTTAAATGACAAACTTAATCTCTGGCTGAATGTCCTTCAGACCCATTCTTCCCCAATGGAAAGAGGTCAAACTCAAATGAGATGGTAAAACTATGAAAAACAGTTTTCATTTTATTTAATCTGCACTCTCCGTATGAATGGTCAAAACTGACCCTGTAGGGAAAGGTCTTGAAATATGTCTGACATGTGCTGAATCAGTCAGAACCCCGACCTGCCCTCTCAAAGGGAAGGGATGTTCTTGTCCAGGAAAGCCAGCATGCAATCCACAGAAGTGACCTCAAAGCCACAAGACGCCTGTAGCCCCACTATGCCTGGCATAACATTCTGGTGCAGAAAACCAGGCCCTAGACAGAGAGGGTTTGGAAGGGGCCGTGCGTGGCTACACAGATACAAAGTTCTTGCCCTACCGCCAGACAAAGCCTCCTTTCTGGTTGGCTTTCGCTCTAGTGCTCACATAGGAGTCCAACTCCAGAAGCACAAGGAAGATAGCAATCACATATACTTACCCAAGCACCCAAACTTCCGAGCAACAAGTAAAGGTACTGAATATGGAAAATTTTGCAAAATATTTGCATCTTGATTTCTATCGAACTGAGATCTGTGAAAAAAGATGCCCTTACCTGAAGCAATCTGAATTTTGCAACCAGACTCTGCTTGAATCCGTGAGATCTGCTCACCTCCCCTGCCAATAACTGCAACAAAATGAACAGGGTCAGACTGTGTTTTCCATTCCACATTCAACCATGCATGAATGACTTAATGAATTCAACATACATTTACACCTGGCTAGCTGCTCTCTACAAATCAAGTTGGCCTTTGTGAGCCCATCTCGACTCTCACACAGGAGCAGAAACAACAAGTGAAACACAGCAGACAGAGACAGAGCATTTAGCCAGGGAGGGATAGAGTAGGAATGAGAGTGAGGGTGGCCTGAAGAGAGGTCTGCAGCACTCCACATTGTACACATCACACGAGAAGCATTCTATTACGCTCACATGAGAGATTAAAATGAAAAAAACAGACAGGAATTAGGGAAAAAGAGGATAATGCAGATACTTACTAAATCCAACCATTTTATCTGGCACTTTGAATTCTTCTGTTATTACTGCCCTAAAAACAAAGAACATTTTGGAAAAAAAATATAGACTACAGAATTCTCCAATTATTTTAGATACCCAAATTTTCCATATTGGCAATGTTGCAAGATAAAAGCTTAAAATAAACATACCAATCTGGCCAACAAATCATAAGTATTGGCAGGGTGTCATTAAATGGACCCTTTTGTCAACTACTCCTTAAAAAGACCTACACTTCTTATCTCATGTCAGAGGTTTCCTTACACCAGGTCCTCTACTACCTGTCTTTTCTTCATATAGCTGCTCTCAGTTGCTTAATATATCCCTTGTTATCTATCCCAGGACACTGCAAAGATCCTATTCTTGGGGTTTAGGGAGATGTCTACACATTTATCATGGTGTCTTCTCTAGATGAAGAGATACTTAACTTTTCTTCAATGCCCCTAGTTTCTCAATCATTTCATTATTTTCTGGACCCCTGCAATTTATCTGTCTTCTAAGGTGAGATGCCCCAAATGGACAGTATTCAACAGAAGTCTAATCAGTGTTGACCAAGACAGAATAATCACCTCACTTACTCTGCAAGGTACTTCTGTTAAATGCCATCCCATCCATTATGTGTCACTCTTTCTCTTTTTTTTTCTCTTCAAACTACCACACTGGCTCTTTCAACAAACCCTTGAATTTGCCATACCGTGCGTGTATTGTGGACAATATCCAATTTGCCCAACACTCCAGAAAGCAATTAAATCTAAACATTTACCTTAGGAGAAAGCTAAATGCAAGTAGTTTAAAAAAAAAAAAAAAAAAAAAGCAAGCATTTTTAAACATCTCTCACACAGCTGGATTTTTACCCATCACAGAAAGGATTTGAATCAAGTGTATGTTTTTAGGGAAAATGAAGCACTTAGAAGAAATGCAATGGCATAAATAGTGCTTGCCACCATATCACTGTGATGGAGCAAACAGTTTTCTCCTTGTGGTGTTTACAACCTCAGGCTTCTTACAAGGGGACTTCCTTCCTTCTTTCCTCCCTCCCTCCCTCTCTCCTTTCTCTCTCTCTCTGGATAGATACATTTACCCTAGAATCAGGCAATTCCTGGCTTCCTAATCAGTAATGCTGTGATGCCAACACCCACCCTCTTGGACTAACAAACGGCATCAGACACAAGGTTCTGCCAAGATGTGCTTCTGCTCTGCTGTCAGGGATGACAGCACTCCTGTACATGTGGGAGCCAGATTGCTGCTCCTACCATGTATAGCACAAGCTGTCTACTCTCATAGTATTACTAGGGAATTGACTAGAGGGCCTTCAACACTACTGCAATGTGAAGTGTCACAGAGCTTGGCAGCTCCTTGACCCTGAGAAACAATGTTGGCAGTGGAAAGTAACATCCTCAGTAATTATGGCTTAATAGTATAAAGCTTAATAGGGAAGTTAAGAGTTTGAAGCTAACAACCTTACTTAAGTTATTATAATTCATTAATGAATTTTAAAAAAAAAGCAAACTACAATCATGTAAAAGAGAGAGAGCAGGACTGTGTCACTGGTAGTGAATACCATATTATAGTAACAAATTCCCTATGGAAGAGGACTATGCCATAGCTTCTGTGTGCCGTTTCCCTCTTTAGAATGACCACAAATATCCTACTTCTAGACTGGCCTTTTTAAAGCAGAGAGGGCTTTATATCTCTCTAACTCAACACTTGATAGAAAGCTGTGAAAGGATACAGAGGCAGAAAACCAACTGGGCACTTAGCCAAGATTCTCTGGCAAGTCCCTATCATCAAGGTGAGGGACTCTGGCTAGAGCCTCCCCAGCCCATGCTCTGGTTGTCCCCATACTTCCTGAGCACTGACCGCACTCTCCATGAGTCCAATACTTTGCATCACACTCTTCTTGAGTGAAGAGCAAGGGAAGACCACAAAACCAGGCAGGACAATTTCATATTCTCTCCTTTCAAATTAAACATACGCTGGAAGAAAGGGTAATTCCCACATTCTGAAAGTCTTTGGAACAACAGGGACTGATTTTTAGTGACTTGTATCAGTTCATCCCACAGCTTACACTGTCTCAAAAAGGGCTGGCAGAAACCGAGAGTCTTAAGGAAATCTAGCCCATGGCTTCCACACTCCCAACCTCTGACTTGCTAACACTCTAGTACAGATGGTAGATCAATAAACAATTAGAAATGATCAATAAATAATAAAACATAACCCACTGCTTACCTTTGATGTACCAAGGCCCCTAACTGGTTACCTACTGTGGCAAAGAGAAAGAGAAAAGAAAAATCAAAGCATTAGCACGGATAAACTAACTTTATCCTTATACGAGTTCTTACCATTGGGTGGGAGGGGGGTGGGAAGGAAGGCAGAAAGAAAGCAAACAGTAATTTAGGCTCAGTGGCTGAAATGAATGTGGTATATGATATGAAACAGGAGGGGATGTCTTGATCAACACAGTCTCTAACCCAGTGTCCAGCTGAACGCAGGATAAGAAATTGATCTGTGTGTCCACATGCTGAGAGGCCTGGGAGAAAATCCTGCTTGCGTAAATCCTCTAACTTCCTACCTCCCTCCTGTTCTGGATCCAAAGTCAATGTAAAGGCAGATATGGTCCTTCCCGCTTTTAAAAACAAATGAGAAGATTTAGCCTCCTGGAAGCATTGTTAAGGAGGCTCCATGGCAGCTGCAGTTACTAAGGACATGCACATATGTTCCTGGTTGCTGCAGAGGAGACAGCCCCATCCCCCACCCAAGCATGAGCAGCTCAGGGAGAGAGAGGACCAGGCCTTTCCTCCTTAGGCCCTTCCCCGGCCCACTACAGCATCCGATTGCAGTGGATGCTCAGAGCACATGGTGGCTCTCAAGTCCATTTCAGAGGCAGCAGTGCCAAACAGCCTCTTATTTGGAAAACTAACTCTCTAATCACATTCCCACAAAACCGCTTTTGCTACACTTTCTGTTCCAGTTTCTCCTCTTTCAGCTATTGATGAGTGTCTCCTTCACCAGCCAGCAGCAGAAATGATTCTATGGTGTTTCTTTTGGAAAATGCAGCTCAGGAAATATAGTCAGCAGACAATGAAAAAGTATAAACCCAAACATATTACAAAGAACTGAATGAACCTTCCTAGATGCTAAAAAGAGCATCTGAAAATGTCTCTGAGGAAACTTATTACAAAGATAGACAAGAGATAACTGTGAAAGGATCAATTACATCAACTTCAGGACAAAGAGTGAAAAGGTCTGACACCTGAAATTCAGAACTCCAACTGTTCTTCTTCCTGTTCAAGCATAACCCTGCCATTCTGTCTGGACAGTAGCTGGTCAAAGAGACAAAGGCAAAGAAACTAGACCATGACATTTTGAAAGAAGAGAAATCACAGAGAAACAATGCTAGCAAAAAGTAAAAGAAGCTACTGAGTTTACTGAAGCTGTTGATCCAGAAGAAATATGGTACTTCTTGTGGATCAATAGCAAGATAACAGTTTGCAGCCAAAATATTGACACTATATACTGTTAATCTGTTTATCTCAGGGATAAGAGAATTGACTCTTGAAACTTACATTCAGTTTGAAGGTAACACATGCTCTTGCTTGAGAGAGGCAGTGCTCATGGTTCCCTTTCACATGAAAACTGAGCAATCCCCAGCTGAGGAAAGGAATCCTCATCAGCGACTCAGTCCTAGAATGATGTGAAAGAGGCCTGTCCACCACAGAGGACAGGGGAGGAAAGAAACAACAAAGGAGAATGCCAAGGGCAGAGTGCTTGGGGGTTTGCTTAGCTGTTCCTATTCAACAGTGAAGTTCAACTGTGGCACATACCACTAATCCCTACGCTTGGGAACTGCCTAAAGAAAAAAAAAAAAAAGAAAAAAGTCCAGTTTCCCAGATTACTACCAGAATTTCTTACCTAGTGGATGAAGAATACTCTGAAGACAGAGAAACTAAATGTCTTGAAAACGAAGATGGCACAGGAGAGGTGCCTAGTCCCATGGGGCAACATGGCTACACAGTGGCTACTGGTCTAGTGGGTTAAGATATCAAAAGGCTAATGATCTCCAAATATGTCTGTCTTAGACAGAAAAGCCACAGAAAGAACAAAGGGCAAAGATGCCATAAAGAACTTCACAAGACTTACAGAAATGCTACAAGGGGTTCTGTCTAACATCATTCAAAATTTTGTACTCAGCATAAAAATGGGAATTCATTTTTGTTAGCAAAGTACCTGTCATAGGTGGCACACACGTGGCATCATTTCTTATAGTCAACTGCTTCCCTGTCAGGTAGAAATGGTCCTAAAAACTAACAATAAAATTATACACATCTCCATCTCACAATGCACGGACTCCTGAGGACTATACCATCCAAGAGTAAAGTCAAACTTGACACTAAGGAGGGCACTGGTGGCTCATGCCTGTAATCCTAGCTACTCCAGGCAGAGAGCAGGATTGTGGTTCAAAGCCAGCCTGGGCAAATAGTTCTGGAGACCCTATTTCAAAAATATCCAACATAAAACAAGGCTGGTTGAGTGTCTCAAGTGGCAAAACACCTGCCTAGCAAGCATGTAGGCCCTGAGTTCAAACAATAGTACTAACAAAAAACAAAACAACCACTTGACCCCAGAGTCAGCACTCTTTTGAGTTGGCAGCTTAGGAGGGAGTAGTATCCTCAACCTCCTCCACGTAAATGCTGAATCGCAGAATTTAAAAGTTTCTTTCCCTTAGGAACAGTGCCCATTTGGTGCCTAAAGATGAAAATCAGGAGTGAGATGAAGGGGTGCTGGGCACTCATACAGCAAACTGGTATGTCCAGCTCCAGGTCTCCTCGGTCTTCCTGATGAGGAAGGTTGCAACAGGGAGGCAGGTGGGAACACCTATCAAGTTCAATTTAACTGTAACTACAGTCATTTTACTGTAAAAAAGGAAAAACGATGAATAAAATCAGTCCTATTTCCCATTAATGGAGCATGCTGGTGGACAATGCTTCCTCTTGCTTCCCAAGTCTCCCTTAGTTCAATTCGAGCACCCCTGCACACCTGGGAATGGTCCTCATTTACTTTGTACATGACATAACAGGAAGGAGGAGGGGAAATGAACGTCTCACAGAAAAGAGGCATCCAACGATGTAAGAAATTCTTCCACAAGAGTAATACTCTGACAATTTCAATAATGATCTTTAAAAAGAATAGTACCATGGCCAGACATATTTTTCATGTTAGCGGGGTGGGGGGTGGGGAAGGATTTCATTTTTCCCTCAAAAGAACAAAGGATCACTGAGCAACAAACCCAACTTTAATAAATAGGCCTCAATTTTAACAGTCACCAGCTCCGCGTCCCCCACCCCCAACACCACCAAAAAAGAAAACCTCAAGAAACAAAGTGCCAATTACTCCACAAGACAGCTCAGGCAACACAGACTGGCATCACACAGGATAGTAGACGGAGTGACTCGTCAAGAAGGAAAATGGCAGCAGTTTTGGACATCAGCAGAAACAAACAAATCAAAGCTACTCCCTGCACACTTTGAAAACAATACTTCGCTACCCTCCCCTGGATCCCCATCTAGTCTCATTGTGACCAATGCTCTCCCAGACCCTAGCTAAGGTCAGTGATGCCCAGGTGGCTGGGGGACACAAAGACTTCCTGTGCCCTGCCCATCAACTCTTGCCCTGGGCCACAGAGCACTTATTGCCTTGCTGAGCTCAGCTCTAGGTTCATGGGCAAGTAATCTATTATTGGTTTTGCCAGCTATTTGTTTTATTTTTGTTCTTTTGGCAGTACTGGGGTTTGAACTCAGGGCTTTCCACCAGTGAAACAGGTGCTCTACCACTTGAGCTACACTTCCAGCTCACCCCACCCCCCTTTTTTTCCCCTGGTACTGGGGTTGAACTTGGGGCCTCCAGATTGCTAGGCAGGAGCTCTATCATTTGAGCTACTCTGCTAGTCAGAGTTTGAACTCAGAGATTTGTGTTTGCAAAGCAGGTGCTCTACTGCTTGAGTCAAACCTCTAGTCCATTTTACTCTGGTTATTTTGGAGATGGCCTCTCACAAACTATTTGCCTGAGCTGGCCTCAAACAGTGATCCTCCCAATCTCAGCCTGTTTTCCTGTTTTTAAGTGAGAGTAAACTCAATTTTATCTCAATAATGCAGCTCTTTCTCGCAGTGTTCGTGGCTTGTAAGCAAAAAGACCATCACCAACAGCTGCAAGAAGTGCCTTGCCTGCATAACCATACTTTGGCCTTAGACTGCCATCCTAGGAGAGAAGGCATTATCAGCGCTCCTTCCACAGAAGAGCAACAGGCACCTTCACACTTACACTATGACTGGGCCATCAGTGCCTGTGCCCATGAGAGCTCCGCGCCCATCTCTGCACTTTATCTAGGGGCTTTCAAAACTATCTTGGTTTTTTTTTTTTTTTTTTTTTGTGGTATAGGACACTGAACCCAGGATTTCATGTATGCTAGGTGAGGATTCATACACACTCAGTCTACAAATATTATTCTCCAACTTCCTAGTTTGGACCCAGCATGTGCTAAGACTATCCTGAGGATAGAACAATAAACAAGGAATCTTTGCCCTCAAGAAGCCGAGATCAGAGGGAAAGCACAAAGCTGTGTGATGGGGGATGAGGATGAATCAGGACCTGTACCCCTCCCCCAGTATAGCTGCATAGAAAGGCCTGACAGGAGAGGCAATGGAGTGACACTAACATGAACAGTAATTGCATGATACTGCACTCACAAAATTAAGCCTTCTTCTCCTCTGAGCCAGCGGTCATGGAATCAGAATGGTGGTCACTGTAGCTTCATTAAAAAGTGAAGCACACCACACACAGAGAATATTTTCTTCTATTTCACTACACATGGATTTTCAGGTGTGTACCAACTGGTTCTTATGAAAATGATTACTTAATTCACACTGTGTGTGGCATTTTAAATAAGAAAATACCTTAATACTACAATCTGCACAGATAATCTCATGATGGAGGTCATTATAAGTTCTATCTCATGGGTGAGGAAACAGAGACTCAAAAGACGTTACGCAGCCTGCCGAGAATCACAGCCAGCAACTCATAGCATTGGGACTTGCTATCTCTTAGGCTTTGGCACCCACATTTTCAAGTACTGCACCATTATAGCATCTGACATTGAGACACTTCTGTCACTGATTAGGTGTGTGGCTATGGTCAAACCACTTCCTCAGACACCAGTTTAATCTTCAAGTTCCATTCTATCTAGAACTTTTCTTATTCTTTCTAGGGTCCTGTTGTCACCTCCTGCACTGGATCTCTAACCCCTGGCAACCACTAATCTACTGTCTCCAAAAATGTTATCTAAGAGGGATTTGATAGTATGCACTCTGTTAGGACTGGCTTTTTGTGTTCAGCATAGTTCCCTTGAGATCCATCCACACTGCTGCCATGTACCAGTAATATGTTCTTTCTTACTAATAAGTACTACTCTATGATACTGGATGGACCACAGTTTGTTTTAATCCTTCACTTACTGAAGACCCTCTTGGCTGTTTAAGTTTGGGGCAATTAGGCAAAAAGCTGCTGTGAGGATGATAAGTTTTTGTGTGAAACATTTAAGTTTTCCTTTCTTGGAAATAAACACCCAGGAGTACAACCATGGGCATTCAGTTTTTTTAAGACTGCAAGACTATTTCCTAAAGAGGCAGTACCATCAAGCAAGTCTTTCTTTTTTTTAATCCCAAATGTGTTCATTGGGAGAGTTTCCCACTCATCTTGATTCAGGGTGCTTTTAGTGCTGTAAGCCTTGCTTTTCCTCTTGTCGGACGGCAGAAGGCAGTGGAGGAACCAACACACAAAATGGCTGTTTGCACATGGCTAAAAACAGTGGTGACAGCATCTGAGGCACTTCACATCCATGAAGTACGAATTGGGGCTCTGCACCAGGCAACTCTTCCTGCATTTCCTCTTCTCCTTGTCTGGTGAGGAATGAAGGAGATCTTTTGCAAGAGGCATGTTCTCGTAAAGAGGCTGTCATCACAGGAAGGGCTTTAAAGCAACCTGAGTGATTTGGTTGCCCCGCCAGGGTAGAGAATCACCAGTTAAATAGTCCCAAAAAACTGAAAACCCAAGAATCCTCTTCTAACTTGATACTCCCACTGCAGACTTTGCTTTGAACCCACTTCTGTGGAAGACAACTATCTTTTGACCTTGTTGGAGAAGGCAATTGTTAACTAACCAGTCAGCTCATACTTTGCTAGGGAAAAAAAAAAAATCTCACTTCTTTCTACCATCTCACACATACAGATATACCCATTTGGCTATTGCCTTACTTCTGAGTTACACTCCTCAAATGCATAGATAGAGGGAGGGAGAAAGGAACAAGGGTAGGGGAAGGGCAGGGCACGGGGCCTCTGCCACAGAGTTGTTATCTGGATAAACCCAGTCTCTATCCTATTCTGGGTTCATTGAGTACTGCACACTAAGGAAGGGTAATGTGAGAAGCCACACCCTTCCCAGAAGACATGATCCTCAGAGGCCCATTTTATGGAAAGGGATATTCAGAAATTGATGAGCTAGAAGATGCCTCCAGGCCTGTTGATACCGACCTAATCACCGGAGGTCTTCCTTACCATCTTGAAGGCAACAGCTAACAACATCCCCAACTTACAACATGTACCAAAAAAGCAGACCCCCACCATTCCAACTCTTGTGAAAGGGTCCTTAGCTTTGGCCTTTCATCCCTGCAGCACCCGTAACTGTCCTTCACTAAGGGAATGCACTGGTGTCTTTGAGACTCAGTCTTCTCTCCTTCCAAAGGGAGGCTGGTGGTTCAGCATCAGCCAGCCTGGCCTTCACCCTAACAGCCTGGCTCCTTTTATCCCTCATTTCTCCTCAAAGTCTGGGATTTAAGAATTCTTTTCCTCTTCATTCCCTGTTTTCTTTCACTTTTCCCACAGCTAAAAGTGCTGAAAAAAAAAACTTTGGAAAGGGTCTTGAAAGTATTCTCTTCAAATCTTTCTGTAAATTATTTATAAAATAATCAAGAATACCTTCTTGCCAGGTGCCAGTGGCTCATGCCTGTAATCCTCGTTACTTAGAAGGCAAAGATCAAGAGGATCGAGGTTTGAAGCCAGCCCAGGCAAATGGTTCATGAGACTGTATCTCGAAAAAACCCTTCACAAAAAAAAGACTGGTGGAGTGGCTCAAGGTATGGCTCTGAGTTCAAACTCCAGTTCTTCACCCAACAAAATGTTATCAAGTACGAGACAGTGTGGAAGCCAGGCATGGTGGGATATACTTGTAATCCCAGCACTTGGGAGAATGAGGAGAAGGATCATGAGTTTGAGGCCAGCCTGGGCTACACAGCAAGACCTTATCTCAAAAACCAAGGGATTGTAGCTCAGGGGAAGAGTGCTTTCCTAACATGTGCAAAGCCCTGGGGTTCATCCCCAGCATCCCCAGAGGGAAAAAAGATGAGTGTGGTACTATATAAAAAGGAACCACATGCTAGGTGCCAGTGTCTCACACTTGTGTAATACTAGCTACTCAGGAGGCAGAGATTAGGAGGATCGCGGTTCAAAGACAGCCCAGGCAAATAGTTCATGAGACCCCATCTCCAAAATAACCACGGCAAAATGGACTGGAGGTGTGGCTCAAGCAGAAGGGCACCAACTTTGCATGCAAGAAGTCGAGTTCAAACCCCAGTCCCCATAAAAAAAGGGGAGGGAGAGGGAACCACAAAAGCATCAAAGATGAGTCTTTGGTAGAAAAGGCAGGCCTATTTCAAAGGTACCCACAAAGCCTTTTTCCTCAGTGGTAAGAAGGGTACTCTGTTCACCCAAAGTTCTGGTTCAGAATCCTATATTCAGAGGCAGGGGAAAAAGTATGGTTTGCTTGGTTCAACTAAAGCAGCTCCAAGAGGCATGACCCCTGAAGCTCTTCCAGGGCAGAAAACCAGAGAGGCTTCATGTCTTGACCTCTAGGAACACAGAGATAAAGAAGTTTCTCTATCATCTAGCTCTGGATTAAACAGAAGGGAACTCACTTAAGTTCTTCCCACAGCCAGGACAGTTAAGACAGTGGAACCCGAGACAGGGAGACTAGTTAAGGAACTGGGGGGTGGAGGAGGGCTGTATACATTTCCCTAACTGAAAGATAAGGGAGGGTTAACCACTTGATAAAGCTGATTCTCCACTGGGGGGTGAGGGGGATGGACTGGAAACTACACCTGAGGGCAGC